ACCCGGCATGTGCATCATTCGGCAGCCGCACTTCCGAGACACGTAGCGGGTTTCACAGGCCAGGCGACACCCCATGAGACTATAGGGAGGGCTGGGGCCTGGGCTGGGGCTGGGGGGACCCAGGGGACCCGAGGGCTCCGGCTCAAAGTCGGGGTCCAGAGATGTTGAGCTGCAGTCGCCCCAGGGTGGTGGCAGGAAGCTCAGCTGTAGAGGGACTGGTTAAGGAGGTTTCGGGGAGAAGCGGGCACCCGGGGAAGATGTGAGCGGTCCCTGGGGGGCGGAGGCCCTGGGACAGGTCTGAAGAGCTGCGGGGCTGGGGTCTGAGGTGCTGTGGGCTGAAGGAGGGCGTTGGGAGCCTTGGTGGAAGGGGGGCTTCGGAGGCCCAGGTGAGGATACTTGCTGCTGCTGGCAGGACACAAACACCTGGTAGCCGGGGGCCGCCCCAAAGCCCAGCTGGTCAATGCTGGGTGGCTCCTCCTGGGTGTGGATCTGCACTCGGACCCCCACCTCAAATAGGGTCTCCTCTGTGGGGGGAGGGGGCCTGAGTCCTGGGCTCCGGGAGGCCCTGGCTGCAGCCCCCTCTCCCCAGGACTGTGATGGACCAACCCCACCCGCTCCCTTCTCATAAGGAAGGACATGCTTCAGGCCCCTGCCCGCACCCCCTCTCTTTCCCAGAGCCTTTTCCAGCACCCCCATGGCCCCCGGCCTCACACGTGGTGCTCCATACCCGTGTCCTTCCACATGGGCAGATATTCATCCTGCTGCACGTCCAGCATGATCTCCAGCCCGTTGCCTGCGCCGCCCTTGGGGGTGGTGAGAAGCTCTGCCCCGTCAGCGCCGGAGTTGAAGGTGTAGCACTGACCCATCCGGGTGAAGATCTAGGGGTGGCAGATGGGTACAGACCTCACCAGGGAGCAAGGGGCCCAGCCAGGCAAACCCGGGCCTGTGGGACCTTGCCTCTCCCTAGCCTCTACTTGGGTCTCTCCTTTGAACACTGAGGCCCACATCTCAATGTCCCCAGCCCCTACCTCATATAGTTGGACCCTCATGGGCTCCCATCACTCCACCTCCTCTCCCCCTCCATCCCCAGCTAAGGGCACAACCCACAGGGCAAGTGTTTCTTTGGAGACCGGGGTAAAAGGCAGTGGGTCCCAGCTGCCCTCCTCCAGGACTGGCAGAATGTGGAAGAGGCAGAGGGAAAGCCAGCCCCTCCATCGGCAGAGAGCGGGGGCTTCTGCCCCAGAATGGTCCCACTTGCATCCCTCCCATGCCCAGTAGCGGGGTCTCCATAGACCAGACCTGAGCCCAGAGCCTGCCTGGGTAAGTGCCCCAAACTGGAGGGTGTGACCTTGCACCCAGCTGAGTGACAGAGCGAGCCCCAAGGAGGACAGCTTCCTGAGCTGAAGAGAAGGCACTGGTGGGGTGGGGGCCTGTGGCCTGGCGGGGAAGGAAAGGGTCTCAGGGCACCAGTGTTAAGGTTCCCTGGCTTTGGGGGAGCCTGGGCTGGCAAGGCTGAGATGGTGGGTAATGGGCAGGGACTGGCAGGCACTCCTTGGTCTCTGGTGGGACAGGGTGGGTGGCCAGCTCACAGCAGTGAAGTTCTCGGGCCCGCACGGTTGGCCGCGGTAGCGACAGTCCAGCAGCATGTCTTCCAGGGTGTGCCCGGCCCGGGCGTAGAGTCGGGCCATGTCGAAGGTGGGACTGGGCATGAAGCCGGGCGGTGTGGGGGGCTGGCCGAGGACACGCAAGAAGGCGGCGTGCTCCGAGGGCTCCAGGCCCAGCAGCGACGGCCCAGCCCAGTGCAGGTCGTTGGGCGTGAGGCGCGAGCGGCGCAGCGGGTTGATGTTGCAGAGGGTGATGGCGGGGAAGGTGAGCTGGTGGCTTTCCCGCTCGTCCAGGGCCGTCTCGTGGTGGAACTCCCCGTAGTAGCGCACCCTCTCTGCCACCTGGTAGAGGAAGGCAGCCATCGACAGGAGCATGGCCAAGGCCCACAGTCCCCGGCGCGGGGTCAGGCTCCCCGGGCCAAAGACGTGGCCCAGCCCGTGCAGCGTGCAGCTGCTGGCGAACACGCTGATGTCCGAGGCCTGCCGCCGGGGCTCCTCCGTCCCTGAGGGGGGCTTCATGGCCGGAGCTAAGGTGAGGGGACAAAGAGGGCTGGAGGTGGTGACCAGGCTACAGAGGCTTAAAAGGAGGAGAGGGTCAGTCGGAGGACTGGGAGGGGATGGCCAGGCAGGGAACAGTGCAGGTGTGAGGCAAGGAGAGGGGCCCAGGCCAAGAGGGAGGTCAGGAGGCACTGGCCTGGCTGGGTCGGATGCAGTGACCTGGAGGGTCCAGCTGGCCTTGTCCAGGAACAGGCTGTGGCTCCAGGGGGCCCGGTGCTGGGCTGGGGGCTCCGCAGCAGAGAGCAGGCAGGGTGCAGCCGGCGTGGCAAGCAGGGCTGGTCTGCTGCTCTGCTGAGCCAGAGCTGCCGCAGAGGATTGGGTTTCAGCAGTGAGGGGGCCAGGGGGCTGGCAGAGCAGCCTGGGGCGTGGGGAGGTCCCTGGGGCCCCAGGCTGAGCCATTAGTGCAGCATGGGGGGGCCGTGGCTGTTGAGGCCAGAGGCGCCAGCGGGAAACCACAGCAACCCTGGTTGGGTTTGAGGGGAGCAAAGAGACAGTCAGGGCTGAGGGTGCCCTTGGGGCCTCTAGTTTCCCAGCTGCAGCCCCTGTATGTGGGGCTGAGAGTCAGTCACTGGCCCTTGGCCTGGCTCCTCCCTCCTCCTGCCTCCTTCCTTCCCACTAACCTCATCATGGGGTCATTTCACAAAAAGCGAACTTGGCTCTTGACCAGGCTGGAAGGTGGTGGGGCGTTTGGCATTGGCCATCTCCTCCTTTTGAGCCCCCAGGGTTCCAGCCTACGCTGGGTGGCCCAGGCCTCTGCAGGTCCCACGTCCTGGGGTCCCTTAAGTGACCCTCTTCTCCTACCCCCCTGCCAACTCAGGCCCTCCTGTCCGGGAGGTTGGCCTCTACCACAGTGAATGTGGGTTCACCTGCCACCCTCCCAGGTAGCACAGTCCAGCTCCCATGTATAACATGGGTGTCCTATGGTTTCACGTTTTTTTCACTTAACATATTCTGGGGACCACGTGATATCCAGTACCTGGGAAACTTCCCTTTTTTAAATGGCTGCACACCCTCCCGACATGTGGACATACCCTTGTTCAAGTCACCACCTCCCTGAGGAACTCTGGTGGTTTCCAGTTTTCCATTACCAACAGCAGTGCCCTCAGCAACGTTGCACAGCTGTAACTCCCACACACCGATCTGCTGGGTCAACAGGCACCCGTGTGGGCTGTCTGATGCCACAAGCTCCCGGCCGTAGGAGTTCCACCCTTTGGTGCTCCCAGAAGTAACATGGGAGTGTGGGCTTTTCTAAAGGAAGACACTGTGTCCCTGAGCTGGCTGGAGGGCCCTGGGCCACATCTGACTGGAGAAGCCTCAGAGGACCCAGAGCCCATGGGCCAGTGGGGCATCTCCCAGCAGCTGGAACAGACACCCCCAGAAAGCAGAGCAGGGCCTGCAACGTCACTGCCGGCTGGCCTGAGAGGGAGAGGGCGTCTTGGGGACTCAAGGGGCAGAGGGCCACAGGAGCCAGCCCAGACAGGCCCATGCAGGACGGTGTCAGGGCCTGATCCTCTTGTCAAGCTCACCTGCCCTCCGGGTATGGGGCTCGGGTAGGCAGACACTGCACTGTGGGCCGAGACAAGGCAGGTTTATCTCCATTAACTCACTGAAATGTTTCTACTTGGTCCCTTTTTGCAAAGCACTTGAGGCCTCTGGGTTCCTGTTGGTGGGCTACTGGCTGAGAGCAGGAGACGTGTTCACATGGTCACGCTGTGCTGCAGCCACCCACCCACCTGTCCTGACAAGCCCGTGGGCTGCAGGGGCCAGGGGCTGTCATCCCCATCGTGGGCGCCGGGGCATGATAGGTGCTTAATGAACACATTTTAGACAGAATGAGTGGATAACATGGTTTATTGCCCAGAGCTGACCACCTTCGAAGGCTGCAGCATGCTGAGTTTTAAGTATTTTACCATTTAAACTCTGAAAACAAGCTTTCACGATTAAGCATGGCCAGGCTCAGGATTCATGTTGATGAGCCAAAGTCGCCAAGGTCAAGTTCAGGCTACACAGCGCCAACCTCATGGCCTTCCAGCTGAAGGCACCGTGGATGGCACTTCCCTAGTTGAGCTGGTGGGGGTGGGGTGGGGGGGTAGTTGGCAGGGGCAGGATTTGGAGAGGCCACCCGGAAGGGGTAAGGAGAGACCTAGAATCTGGTGTCAGAGGCCTGAGCAGGAACTAACCCCGGCTGGCTCTCCTCTCTTAAGGGAGGGGCCAGGGAGGTGAGTGTAGACTGGGGGGGTGGGGTGTTTAAGGCCTGCTTGTGGCTTCACTGGATGTTTAGTGGCAAAGCAACCCAGAGACAGCCCCAGGCTCTGCTTCCTGGGCCAAAGCTGCCCTGGGATGCGACCTCTCACCCACTGCTCAGGAAGTAGGGCAGCAAAGCAGAGTGCTATGGCCCTGGGATATTTTAGGTGGTTTCTGGTCCTAAATCACACCCAGAAGAGGCTATGGCGTCTCTCACCCAGCTCCTGCACTCACACTGGAGCCACTGCTGCCTCTTCCAGGCTGCCCTCCAGCCTTAGGGAACGCTGTTCCTCCTGCAATTGCTGCTGCCCCCGGGCCATGGCCTCACCCTAGGTGCCACAGGATAAACCCAATATGCTTGGTCGGCCTTAAAGGTCTGGTACAGGCAACTTCTCTTCCCACCTAGGGAGCAGGGCTTAGTGGGGACTTCAGTCTGGGTGTGGCTGTGAAGGGGGAAGGTGGTCTGGTGGGAGGTGACATGGGCAGAATCAAGGCAGGAGGGGCGCCCACAAGGGCTGGTGGGAAACCAGGCTACTCCCGGGTCCTTATTCACAGCTTCAGGGCCACAGGCTCAGGTGCGCTGGCAGTTGGCCAGTCCTTTTTCCAGGTGGCTCCAGTCCCATCTCCCCTGGTCTAGCAGTGACTGGTCCTCCTCCGACTGGTTTTGTATTTTGTTTGCCCAAGGGGGTTAGCATTAACCCCTCCCTCACGGTCTGGTGACTGTTGGTACTACATGCCCCCATAGCTGGAGTTTGGGGTGTGTCGGCTCCTGCTCTGTCCCCTTCAGGCTGGTATCCTCAAGTAGAGGGGGGCTGTCTACAATCTCACCAGGTGATAGGCTCAAGGTGGGGGCCAGGGCAGTGGTGAGACAGCTTGACTGGACCACAGCACACCCCCCCTTCCCGGAGGGCCTGTCAGGCATCTGTTCTGTTTGAATGGGGAGGGTGAAAGCTAGAGACAAGGACTGTGTGAAGGAAGAAAAACTGTTCCGAGGATGGGACTGTGGGTTTGAGGAGTTGGCCCAAGGCAGGGCTCCTTCCCTGAGGGCCCAGAGAGGCAGTGGGATAAAGGGGTGTCGGGAGTCAGCCAGGGAAGTGAGGTTTGGCACAGGTCGGGTAGAACCCCAGTGTGAATCCTCCACCCACTCCCTGACCCTGAATGTAGTCTCCTTAGCTCTGGGGCCTAGACATCTTTAGGCTGTCAGGTAGGGGGGAGGCTGGCAGAGTTTTTGAGAGGGGTTAGGGAGGGTCTGGGTAAAGGGAAAGAACAGAGCAAGGGCCTGGGACTCTGCCTCCTCCCCTGTGCAGCCCAGTGACTTGTGGCTCTGGCAGGAGGGAGGCAGCCTGGGGAGAGGAGGGGGAGTAGATGGGAGCAGCCCCAACCTACTCCCAGCCCAGGGCCTGTCTTGGTTTTATTGTGAGCAGGGGCGCAGCCCACAGCCCAGCATGCTAGGCCTCTGGGGCTCAGTCCTCAGCCCTGGGCACTGATGCTTGGCAGTGACCAGACTGCAGAGGGCTGCTCTCAGGACTCGGGGTGGCGGTTCCTGGGGCCTCTGGGTGCCTTCGGAGGTGGGGCATCCAGGGCCTGTCTCCTGATAAGCTCGGCATAGAGCCCGCCTTTCTTTAGGAGCTCTTCATGCGACCCCGCCTGGAGAGAAGGAGGGGCAGAGGGTCACCCAACCTAGCTCAGAGTTCAGGACACCTGAGCCAGTGACCCTTCTGGGGTCACTATGAAACCAAAGCACAATTGCTTATAGATGCCACTGGCACATCTTATTTGTAGGTACCACCTCCCTGCTGTCCTCTGGGTCCCTCGTAACAGCCCAAAGATCCCAGCTCAGGGCCCAGCATCCCCACAAACCCTTCAGTTTTTGCTTGAACAGGCCCCATGCAGCCTCCAAGCCCTGCCTCGGACCCCGCCTCTGGCTGGTCTCTGGGGCTATTTTGCACCTCAGTCCTGGTCGTGCTACACTTCCCTGTGACCCTGGGAGCTCTACTGCCCCCAGGGGACGAAGGAACTCTGGGGCCCTGAGAGGCCAGGGCTTACCTGAGGGCAGACATCTTTGAGTCCACCTGGGGTGCTGCTTAGAGAAGGCGGCCCCAATCCCCCAGGACCAGGCCGGACCCTCCCAGCTCAGCTGAGCCACTGTGTCTATGGTTCAAGCTGTCCCAACTTCCCCTCACCCTGGGCCCCTGCTGACCTCACAGACACGGCCCTGGGCCATGACGACAATGTGGTGGGCCCCGCGTACGGTGCTGAGCCGGTGGGCGATGACCAGCACGGTGCGGCCGGTGCTGGCTCGGTCCAGGGCCTCCTGAACGACCCGCTCAGACTCCGAGTCCAGAGCGCTCGTGGCCTCGTCCAGGATCAGCACTGCTGGCTGCTTGATAAGGGCTCGGGCGATGGCCAGGCGCTGCTTCTGGCCACCAGACAGGGTCGCGCCCCGCTCACCTGGGGAGGAAGGGGAAGGGCGCAGCCTGAAGCAATCCTCAGCTCTGCACCTGGGGGGCCCTGCAAAGGGCACCAGGCTGTGGGAACTTCCCAGCTGGCTCTCGGGGTCCTTGCCCGGCCTGTGTTCACCCTACCTCTGTAGCGGCTCCCACCTCCCTGTGCAAGGTGACATGAATTGGTGAGCTGTGTGTATAGTGGGGCTCTGGCTCTCAGAGCCAGGATGGGACCTGCGATTCTAGCTGCTTTCCCCTGCCTCCCGGGTCTCTGCTCTGCGGGGACATCCGGGACCCTGATGTAGGCTCCTGGGGTGCGTGATGACAGCACAGTGGGATTCGAAGCCCACCACCCGGGCATTCTAGGGAGAGCTGCAGGAGCGGCAGCCTCAAGGTGATGGCAGTCATAGAGCAGGGAGGGGCAGACTGGGCCCCAGAGAAGCCCGGAGCGTGTAGGTCAGAGGTGCAGGACAAGGCCACCCAAGAGAGCAGTGAGTAACACCAGCTGGCCGGTAACACAGGGCATGAAGGACGGCTACAGAGGGACAGCACTTGGGAAGTGGAAGCTCAGCGAGCCTGAGGCCAAAGTTCAAGAAAAGAGCTGAGAACCTGATATGCCCGTGCCTGGAGACACGCGGGGACATTAGCAGCAGAGCCCAGAGACTGGACGATAAACATGGCCCAGAGGCTGGAGAGATGTCCGAGATGACCGATGCCGCAGCTGCCGCACGGACGCTCTACAGTGTCTGTCTGTGGATCTTCCAGAACCCCCAGAGCCCTCTCCTGGGGAAGTCAGAGAGGGACCTGCTCCCCCACGTCAGTCCCACGGTAAGCGAGGACACGCCTTTAAGTGAGAGAGTAGGACAGGAACGGCACCGGCGCCGGAAAGATGAGAGACTAGGAGGAGATACACCCACTGCCTCTGGCTGGGTCTCGGGACGCAGGGATCCCAACACTCTGGCCGGGTCACGGTACCCCTGGCCGGTGCTGTAGTAAGGAATGTGCTTAACAACGGAACACATTCTGAGAAATGCGTCTCCGGGCGTTTCTGTCGTTGTGGGATCACAGACAGTACGTCCCACAGCACACCTGGCTGTGTGGTGCACCGCGGTCCTGCCCGTGGTCCGTCACTGACCGGGATGTCATCACGCGAGCCGGACACGACTGCTCTCCCTGCCGTGTGCCTGTCTCTGCAGCCTGCTTGTGCCTGGCCTCCCGTCCCCACAGGCCACAGTCTGGCAGGGTCTTCCCGGATGCAATGCCCGTTCGCTTGTCCCCGGGGTCCCAGCCTCACGCTGCGGGCCCCGCACTCACCTACGACGGTGTTGTAGCCCTCAGGGAAGCTGGTGATGAACTCATGGGCGTTGGCTTCCCGGGCAGCCGCATAAACCTCCTCATCAGAGGCACCCAGCTTCCCAAAGCGGATGTTCTCCATGATTGTCGTGCCAAACAGGACTGGCTCCTGGGATGGGGTGGGGAAGTCCACAGGAAACATTCTGACTTTGCCCCAAACCCCCCAGGGGGGTGTCAGGAAAGGCTATTTTGGCCAAACCGGAACCCCTTGGAGAGCAGGTAGGGACAGTTCCGTCACAGGTCAAACGAGAACAGAGGTGCCTCAAAGCTGCAGAGGCTGAGCTCCCCGCAGGCCTCCCCTCCGTGAAGAGATGGGACAGAGGGGTGCGCACCGCGGCTTTCTTGCGCCGTGGAGGGAGCCCTTGTGAGTCAGTAAGTCCCCTCAGCCCGCACCCCGCGGGAGCGTGGGCCTGCTCTGGAGGCACCGCCCCACACAGAGGCAGCATGGGACCTCACTCGGCGGGCGTGCGGCTGCCAGCAGTCCCCGGCAACACTGCATGGCGTCTCCAGGCCTCCAGACACCGCGGGCTCGTCGCAGAACCAGGGACCCTAAAGCAGCCACCCGAGCCCCAGCTTCCTGGCTTTAATGGAGGAGCAGCATTCCTGCCCCAGTGAGATGAGAGCAGAGCTGCGATGGCCCTGGATGCAGAAGCCTCAGACCCCAAGGGATGCCAGGGAACAAGCGCAGGCGCCCAGAGCCCCCAAAAGCAGGGACGACAGGCTGGGAAGGAGGAAAGGCCCAGGTGCCGTAAGGACTGAGAGAGGCAGGGCTTGGAGGAGGGAGACGGGCTGGACAACTGGTGGAGGAAAGCCTCCTCCCTCCGCACCTGGCTGATGAAGCCGATGACCTGGCCCCGGAGCCAGGAGGGGTCAAGGGTACGCAGGTCCCGCCCGTCCAGTGTCACCATGCCTGCCGTGGGGTCATAGAAGCGCTCGAGCAGGGAAGCCACAGTGGTCTTTCCTGGGGAATGAGGTTAGGAAGACAGGGCAGTTAGGGAGGGGGCACAAGTTTCTGGAGAAGTGCCAGGGGAGAGGGACACGTGGTGGCAGTGGAGGGGCTCCGCTCTGAGTGGCCACCACAGGGGGAAAGTCACGGGGTGCAAGGCTGTGGGCTCCTCTTACCTCCACCGGACTGGCCCACGAGGGCCACTATCCTGCCCGGAGGCAGCGTGAGGGTGAAGTCTTTGAGCACCTGGAAGCCAGGGCGGCAGGGGTAACTGGGAGGAGCCGAGAGACCCTCAGTCAGATCAGGTTCCCAGTCCCTGGTTGCCCCGGTCCCTCCTGAAGTCTCCCTGTACCCGAGGGGGCACAGAGGTCCCCAGCCCCGAGGGAACCACCCCTGGGCCCACCCACCAACACTGACCTGAAGCTGACGTTGTGAAATGTGATGGACCCTCGCAGCTGCTCCCTGGGGACCCAGCAGCCCCCGGACAGCGGGATGCATGGGCTCAAAGTCATGTACTCGAACACCCGGGCGCCCGCGCTGAGCCCCCGCACCACCTGGGAAGTGATGTGGTGTGCCCTCAGGGAGGGGAGGGTCCCAGGGAATGAATGGGGGGGAGTGACCGTAGCATCGCCTGGACTCCCCACACAGGCAGGTGTGGCATCCCCTCTACCCGACACCCAGCTCCCCCTGCGCACAAGTGATGCTGGTGGCTGACCAGAAGCACCCCCAACTGCCACTCACCTGACCAAACAGGACAGAGAGGTTGGCCATGGACCTGTGAGGAGCAGAGGAGAAGGGTGAGAGAAGGCTGGCACCAGAGGGAAGGCCCGGGTCTCAGCTGCATGGAGGACATGTGGGCTGAGGCCTGGAAACCTGGGCTGGAGACAAACTTGGAGGACAGTCCTGGAATCTGCGATCCTAGGAGCCCTGGGCCCAGGCAGGTCACAGGGCAGGTCCCTTCTGCTTTCGGAGCCTGGCCTTTCCTTGACAAGAGGAGGCTGATGACCCTCACTACCTCAGGGCTGGGGACTCCGTGGCTCAGTGGGCCTGGATCCTGCACGGCCCGCAGCTTGCAGGGGGAAGCTGGCTCCCGCACAGGAGAGGCACCAATGCTATCAGCAGGGGTCAGGGAAGCAAGGCCGCAGGGCAGGGCAGCTCTATCGCTGCTGACCCAAGGGGAAAGCAAGGGTAATTAAGGGGGGGGAAATGTTAGCCTTTTATTTTTTTAATCCTCACTGGAGGATATTTTTTCCATTACTTTTCAGAGTGGAAGGGGG